TCGGGGCCCTCGCAAGGGTGCGCGTCCTCCCCCGCGGGGGCGACGTGGCGGCGGTGCTCGTCGGCGGTAGCGGCCTCCTCCTCGCGCCTTCCCTCCTCTCCATAGAGGATATCGAGCGGGAAGGGGAGAGAGGGGTGGTTGGAGGGGGGGGTGCGACCTCGTCCCTTCCCACCCCGCTCCCGATTCACCTGAGCAACGCCGTGGTGGAGGACGTCGCGGCCACGGAGGTGGGCGGGTATTCAACCCGTCTGGTGTGCGCCGCCGGCTCCACCCTGACGTTTCTTTCCATCTAGCGGGATGGAAAAAAAAAGGAAGGGGGAGGGGGGTTCATTGGGTACTTTGGTGGGGGATCTTTTGATGGTGTAGGTCACATGGGTTGTCTGTCCAGACGAAAACAGAAAGAGGAGGGCCTGAAGGATGGGATGTTAGATTTCCTTTCATGGGTGACGTAAAAGGAAAATAAAGCACGAACGACAGTATAGAGGAAGAAGAAAATGAATGAATGAATGTGATTCCTTTTGGGTCTTTTTTCGTTCCACTTATAATAATAATAGTAAACGATTACTCTTTTGGGGGTTCTTTTCTCCTTGTGGATTATTTTTCTCACAACTTTTTTTTCCTGTCTAAATGCGTATTTTCATCCCTCACTTTCAGATACCAGGTAGAACTATAGTGTGTTTTGCTTTTTGAGAGTCTGCCACACGTTCTTAGTTCTTTCTCTTGTTGGGCGTGTGCATTTACATTCCGTGTAGGAATTGTGTTCCACAGAAAAGCGCACCGATTCGTGAACCATAATATACAAAAAAATAATACCAAGCGAAACATCATCCACAATGGTTAAGTCTCGTATGAATGCGCTGGATGTGCGCGCGAGCGTGCTGGAGATGGAGTCTGCACTGATTGGACTTCGTCTCCTAAACATCTATGACCTTTCCCCGAGTATGTTCCTCCTCAAATTCGGTCACGGGGAACATAAAAAGATGATTCTCATCGAGAATGGGGTTCGCATGCACCTCACCGAGCTCAGTCGGGAGAAGCCGCGGCTGCCCTCGCAGTTCACCCTGAAGCTTCGCAAGCACGTCCGGGCCTGGCGTCTCGGGAGCATCACCCAGCTTCACCAGGATCGCACGGTGGACATGTGTTTTGGCGTCGCGGGCGGCGAAAACTGCTTTCACATCTTCGTCGAGCTCTTCGCGAAGGGGAATATCATTTTGACGGACCACAACCACGTGATCTTGATGTTGCTGCGCACGCATAAGGATAAGGACGTGCAGTTCGTCGTGCGCGGGGTCTACCCCACCGCGGAGGCGGCCTCCCCTTCGACAAAGTCGGGCGTGGATGCGTCCGTGGAGGGCCGCGACACTTCCTCCGCGGAGGGCCTGGCAGGGGAGTGGGAGGCCGTCGTCGCGCGCGCCCCGGAGCACGAAACGCTAAAAGGCATCCTCGCCACGTTCCACCATCTTGGTCAGAGCTTTGCGGAGCACATCTTGGCTCTTGCGGGGGTGAAAAACATCAAGCGGAGGGACCTCGTCGCGGGCTCCTCCGAGGAGGTCTTCCAGAAGCTGTTCCCCGCGCTCGTGGAGACCTTGGCGCTTACGCGTCGGCCGTTGAGTCCAGGGGGGTTCCTTATAATGGCTCGCGAAGAGAAGCCCCATGACGTTCCCCCAGCCGACCCCGACGGGTTGGCCGCCGGGGAGACGAAGTCGTATGAGGATTTTACCCCGATGCTGCTCGCCCAACACCCGCCGCGGGAATCCACCTCCGGGGTTGAGTTCCGACCGAGCTTTGGGCAGGTGTGTGATGCGTTCTTCCTGCGATCCGAGGCCGAGCGGATCCAGCAGCACAACGAGAAGAACAAAGGCGTCGTTCTGAGCAAGCGCCAGCGCTTCGAGGCCGATCACCAGCGCCGAATCGACCACCTCAAACGCGAGGAGGAGCTGAACTACCAAAAAGGGGAGCTCATCCTCCTCAACGCGGACCGGATTGATCAGGCGATCGATCTGATTAATGGCGTTCTCGCGTCCGGGATCCAGTGGGAGGCGCTGCGCGCGCTTCTCCGGCGCCGCCACGCGGAAGGCCACCCGGTTGCCTATATGATTCACGAGCTCCTCCTCGAAACGAACGCCATCAGCGTGTTGCTCGAGCAACCGCTCTACGACGACGAGGACGACGCGGAGGTCGCGCCCGTGGTGGTGCGGCTTGATCTCGACCAGAGCGCCCACGCGAACGCCGCGACGTACTTCCGGAAGAAAAAAGCCACCCAGGTGAAGCTCGCGAAGACGATCGCCGCGACGGCGAAGGCCGCGGCAGGGGCCTCCCGCAAGGGCGAGCGCGTCGCCGCGCGGCTGCAAACGAAAAAAGCGATCGGGATCGAACGTCGGCGGGGGTGGTGGGAGCGGCTGCATTGGTTCGTAACGACGGCCGGGGATGTGGTGTTGCAAGGCCGGGATCTCCCCACGACGGAGCGCCTGATCCGTCGGCTGAGGCGGTTGGGGGATCTCTTCGTGCACTGCGACGTCGCGGGCGCCCTCCCTTGCCTGCTCCGGCCGATGCACGCGACCTGGCAAGCCGCGGAAGGCGCCCACGACGGCGAGGAAAGCGAAGGGGGGAAAGAGAATGGAAAAGAGAATGGGAATGGAAATGGAAAAGCGAATGGGAATGGGAAAGGTGGGGGGGGGAAGGGGCTGCCCGTGAGTGTGAGGAGCCTGGCGGAGGCCGGGGGGTGGTGCGTCAGCCGCAGCGTCGCGTGGGAGCAGAAGCAGACGAGGGGGTCGTGGTGGGTGTACGCCTCGCAGCTCACCGGCGGGAGCGCCGCGGGGTGCTACTGGTTTGAGGGCGAGAAGCACCACATCCCCCCACAGCCTCTCGCCCTTGGCGTGGGGTTGCTCTTTCAGGTCGCGCGAGACGGCGAAGGGAAGGGAGCAGGGGGGAACGCGAAGGCATCGCGCGCTTTTCATCCCCTGATCGACGTGAAGGGCTTGACGGCGTGGACGGATTTCATCCCCGCCGACGAGGCCGTCGGGTTGCGCGGGCTGCCGGAGCTCCCGTCGAAGACGGCGGTCGTCGCGCCCCCCCCTCCCTCCTTCCTCCT